AGAGAATTCAATCAAATTGAGCCTACATTATTTTTTCACAAATGCCTACCTTTTATCCAACTTTGAGCCAAATCGAACGAGCTGTTTATGAAATATTGGCATAACTACAAAAATGTGTTTGCGCGTGCGTGAGCGGAACGGCTGGTTAGAATTTAATAAAATTTATATGGGACCATCCTGCATAATCTCTGAAAATTTCATAAAAATCGGATAAACGGTAATAGGTGATATGCCCGTTACATCGGTTTGACTACAGACAGACACTGAACCAAATTTGACCCTTGATGTCTGAAACGTAAAACGGGAGTTAAAATTTTCTATTCTAAGCACATATTTTTTTTAACCTCTCGCAGGAATACAATGCTTCTGTACCTTTAGTAGTGAGGAAGCAAAATAATAAATGCAAAGTAGAATTGCTCCAGGTAGGTAATAAAATAAATTATCATTAATATTATATTTCAATAATTTAATTCTCTTTATTTCAGCTGGTCGTTCACCATTGGTTTACAGAAAATGTTCTCAATATAATTGTGAACAGGAAATAGCACAACGTGATGGAGAAATACTTGCATGCAGTACCTGTACTTCCTCACTATGCAATGTCTCAACAGTCAGTTCATCTATTTCATCTTTAATATATTTTTTAATAATTGCTTTTGTATTTTATCACCTCAACATACTCACTCTTCATGACCAGAGTTAATGAAATTTTAACAAGTAATGATCAATATTTAATTAATTCTAATAATAGAAATTAATATATCAATGATAAGTTATATGATTTATAAAACAATTTAGTGTTTGAAGGAAATATTAATGAAAAGGATTCATGTTACCTTAACAAACACAAATTGTTGGTTTATTGCAAAAAGTCTCTAAGTAACATTTTATTAAATTAAATTACTAAATATTTTGATGAATATCCTCTCTGTCAAATCAAAGCATTGTGTGCTTAGAGTGATTATATTTAGAATACATTTGGGTTTGTGATATTTTAATACACTTTATGTGTTTTTTTATTGATAAATAATGTCTCAATTCACAAAAATAATATTTAAAAAATTAGCTCCATCAAAAATGTACTTATTGACTTTTTGCAATAAACATTATCATTGATTTCAATTTATTAGTTAATAACAATCCAATTTTGCTCTTGAAATTTTAAATTAATAGATAACACTAACTATTGCAATTTTGAAACAATCAATATTCCTGCTTATTATATGTTTTTAAATTTTATGAAGTGGTACAAATTAATTATGATATATTTGGCATTACAGATTTATTTGAAATAAAATCACTAACTTCACTTGGATTCAATTTACACCTCATTAGATAAATGGATACCACTTATAATGAATCCTGTTGTCAAAAGTTTACTTTTCAGAATGAAAACTTTTTGTCTTTAAATCATTTTTTTTTTTTTTTTTTTTTTTTATCAATGTTATGTATTATATTTTCATGAATAAATAATAATGGAATATTCAAATTCATGTTTTTGCCTGATTAGCTTTAGTTTGAGAATCAACTAAATAGTAGGAATAAGATTACGACTGTAACAAGAGATGTGATATAAAGATATATAATGGTGATATAAGAAGAATGACATGTAATGGAGAATGGTTGGAAAAGGTGGACTAATACAACTAACTTGGAACAACTTTTAACAAATCTAGGAAAATAGTTACGGAAATGTCCAATAAAATAAATAAGCCAACAATATATATATATGTATATATATTACCTGATTTGCAACACGATTGTCGGAAAGAGAAAGATAGGAAAGAATGCTTAACTATCAGTCATAACATATCTAGATCAGATGTACCCCAGAGATGATCCATCCCAGGATAGCGAGGAGGATGAGGCTCTGCGACAGGCAACAGAATACCCGCCTGGTACCGAGTTTATTCCACCATGGGACGAATGGAACCTGCAGATGGCGATAGATAAGCAGAGGACAGGAAGAGCTCCAGGACTCGACGCCATTGACGCAGCGATCCTAAAGAGGAGTGCCCCTACATAGAAGACGAAATACTGGAAATAATGAACACTTGTTTGGGTATGGGGCACTTTCCAACACAATGGAAAATCACCGACCTCAGACTGCTGTATAAAAGGGGGGAGGCAAAGACAAGGAGTTATCAAAGTCATATAGGCTAATATGCTTCCTCGCTGTTTTGAGTGAATTCCTGGAGTACCTCATAGTGAAGAGCCTGTCGCCATTCCTGCGGGCAGTGAGTCACCCAAGACAGTACGGATTTACAAATTTACAAAAAGGCTCAGCACCAGAGATGCCTTAATGGAACTGCGCAGGGACGGGGATGGCAGGGCAGAGAAATATGTCATGATGGTCCTGTTTGACATATCTTCCGCCTTTGATAGTGTATGGTGGCCCTGCGTATTCCAGTGTCTCCAGCAGTTTGTTACCCCCAGCAACTTATACTCCCTCATTAGAGGGTACCTCAGCAACAGGTGAGTCAGGATAATGGTTACCATCTACGAGGTATAGCAAGAGATTGGAAGAGGATGCCCACAGGGCTCAGTTCTGGGACTGGCCCTGTGGAAGTTGATGTTCGACCAATTGCTGTGGGAACTGGAGGTGGCTGGCTTTAATGCCGCAGCATACATGGATGACCTGGCCATCATAGTGGCAGCGAACGGCAGGGCGAGGATAAAGATGGCGGCGACAAAGACTCAGGTCATATTGCTGAAAGGCTCCACAGACACTCCACAGAAGGCTCACCCTATCAGCCTTAGAGTCAGAGGGGAGAGAGTCTGCCTGGGTGAGGAGGTTACCGACCTAGGCATGAGATTCAAGATGAAGTTTAATGTCTCTCCCCCGATTGAAAACCTGTGGAATAGAGTGACCCTATCTGGTCTGACCAGGATAGGGGGTACTTTTTGGGGCCTCAGGTACCCGGCCAAGGGAGTTGTGCTGGGTATACTGAGGGACGCATCCCCAGCATGGAGCTGCCGCCTGGATAAGATCCAGAAGAGAAAGATGGCCACCATCCAGAGACTTGCCCTGCTGAGGACAACAAAGGTCTACAGAACGGTGTCCCATGAAGCGGTGCAGGTGCTGGCCGGAGGGATGCCCCTGGAACTAATCACCAAGAAACATACCATCAAATTCCACTTCAAGAGGCAGGGACTCCGTGAGAAAATTGGTGAGAACCCAAATCATTGGAAAAGGATTATCAGAGAGGAGTCCATTGAAGAGTGGAAGAGTGGATGATGGCTGACAAGCCCAAAAAGGTCTACCCTCAGGAATTTCTTCCCCACAGTCCAGGCAAGATTAGATGCGGTATGGATCCTCCCTGATTACGGGGTCTCGCAGGTTCTCACAGGACATGGAGGGTTCCGGGAAAAACTTGCTGCCCATGGAAAGAATATCGACCACTGGTGCCCTCCCTGTGGGGTCCCTGAGACTGCCAAAAACATCCCAATATCCTGCACCAAGATAGAGGGACACACTGCGACATTGCTGAAAGAGATGGGAATGTATACCCTGATCAAAGATTTTCCCTGCCTGATGGAGAAGGAAAATTGCCCGCTCTTTCAGTATTAACTCACTGCTACCAAAACCTCATATGGCAGCAATGCCAGAGGGTAAAAAAAAGAAAAGGTATGGACACTTCTGTTCTATAGAATGGGCGAAGACAGAATACCAAAGAAATCTATGAAAACGAGGCCAACTGGCAACAGACCACGAAGCAGATCTAGAGGAACATATCTGACTACTAGATCAGCAAAGGAAAAACCTTAGCTCAGTCGAGGGAATTGGCAAGAGACAGAGGTGAATGGTCAGAGTGGCTGAAGGCTCATCCACGCTGAAAGCCACACAAGGACGGAGAAAAAAAAATTTAATTAATATAGTGGGAAAGTATACGTTACAGTGTGTGTCCATTTTTAAGTATGTTGGCTCCATAGTAAATGATCAGATGGAGGAAATTCAAAATTATTTCTTATGCGGTGTAACAAATCATATTTTGCCCTAAGAAGTTTCCTCCATAGTAAAATGCTAAATCAGTGTACCAAAATGCCTCAATATAAAACAGTAACCCGTTCTATGTAAATAGAACCCGTGCTGACCTATGCCTGTGCAACCTGGACCTTACTTTGACTGAAAACTAACAGGTTTGTGTGAAAAATGTTGAGGTGCGTCATGGGACCTGTCAGGGAAAATGGTTTCTACCGTTTGAGAAGGAACAAATAGATTTACAATTTATATGACGATCTCTGAGCTTCCTATTTCGTGAGAATTCAACACTTCAAGTAGCTGGGAAACGTAATTAGGATGGATGATAGAAGAGCAGCCAGACAATCATATTATGGAACTCTGGACAGAGTCAGACAGCACGGAAGACCAAAGGGAAGAGGTGGAAAGACTCAGTGGCTAAGGACTTGTGGATGGTTGAAGTTTCCAACAAACTTGCTATTGAGTGCAATGATAGGGAAAAGGCAGTTGAGAAGAACAAGACCAGCTTCAGTCACCTGTCGAGTTGATAAATAATGTTCAATTAAATATATTATCTTAATATTTAATTGAACATTATTTATCAACTATATATATATATATGATAATTCAGATAACATGGTTAAATGGTATAAACAAGCCAATTGGCTATAAGGACCAAAACCAGTTTCATAACCTTTGCCTATGAAATGGATATTCATGTAGTATACTTAGGTTTAATCATATTTTATAAAGTTTAATGTATTATAAACTATAATAAATAAAGTTTATAATTAAGTAGTAAGCCATTAAAAATATTTGAGTTATTGTTTGAAATGGAAAAAAAAAAAATGACAGGTTATGAGTTGTAAACAAGAGTTAAATTATATACCCATTTTTATTATATAATGTATTTATTAAAAACTCTGACAAAGCTAAAGTCAATTATAATAAACATATTTGTTATTTAAAAATTATTTACAAATAAATTATTTTAAAATATTAACGACTATTTACATGTTTCAGGAGGAATTAAAAATCAATATTTACTGATCATTAAGAGCCAACTTAAAATGTTTAGTTGGCTTTCTCACAGGCATCAATCCAATCATTGTAAATGTCTATAGGTTCAGATAAAAAGTTAGTAACAGTTTGGAAATCTTCTAAACATATTCTGCACACGATTCGGGCGCTGCTTCTAACTCTATCCCTGAAATCGAAACAATACCTATGTAAAAAAAATGATTCAAGCAAGATACTTTATATACAATTTTATTTCTCTTAATATATTTATTTGTTATGATTATATAAACATATAATTTTTAACATGTTGGTTTGTAGTTACTAATTTAAATATAAGAATGATTATGTTTCAGTTAAAAATTATTACTTTTAAGACATGTGTTTCTGTTCTATCATCTTTGTCTTCCTTAAAACCTTAGCAAAATCAATGAAAGATAAAGATATAATCATTAAGATTATTTTCACTTCTAATGCTGAAAAATAAAACAATTTCCAAAAAAAGTGGGTAAAAAAAAGTTATTGAGTAAAGAAAATTCCATTTATTTGTAATTGAAAAGTATGGAGTTTATGGTGGATGAAGTACTTATAATTTAAAGATTAAATTTGACAAAAACGGTAGTGGAGGAAGGGAAATCATCTACATCAGGCCGCTATTAGCAAAGATACACCCTTGTTGGACTTTGTATACATGTATTAGTTTATTTTCAACAATGAAACTTTGTTAGTGACAAAGAAAAAAATATTTAACCCTTCCTCTCAAAATTTATTGCATTTAATTATTTTATATTATATCATCATTTGGTTACTGACCAAACGATGAAGTAAACTATTCACATAGACCTACAAATAAAACAAGTACTCTACATCATAAGTGGGAAACTGCGGCCTCGGGAGCTGCATGTAGCTTCTATGACGTAGTTATGGTCTTAGCAGCCACATGGAGCCTCCAAATGTTTTAGCACTATTTTTATCAATTTAGAGCTAGAATTATTTAATACTTAATTATTTAAGTAATGAAAATTTGGAAATTAATAGAATTCAGATGAATGCATGTAAGTGTATGTGTTTAGAGATAGATAAAGATAGCAATGATAAAATATAATGAATTATTGCAGCCTCCATTAGCACTGCCTAATCTTACTTTGGCCTAATAATAAAAAGGTTCTCCACCTATGGTCTACACCCTTTTAAAGAGGACTTATATAGGGCTCCCATCATATAAATATGTGATGATTAAACATGACTAACCACAATATTAATATTTTTGAGATTGGGTAGCTATTTCTTTAAGTCAGGGTAGGCTGGCTTTTATCATGCCTCCCTTTATTACTAGTAATAAAGAACCTTATTAGGTTCCTACCAAGAATTTTGGGTGCTAGGGACTAATGACTGTGACCCAATGAAGCAGAACGTTTGTTGCAAAATAAATTACATCAACACAAAGTAAGTGAGAGGATAGTATGGTGTAGTATGGTGGTAGTATAGTAGTAGTATGGTGGTATCATCAGTAAATGTTACCAGGAAGGTATTGGAATTTGTAGGAATGTCAGCAGTGAAGAGATAGAGAACTGTGCCCAAGACACAACACCAGCCTCAAAAATTTACTAAAAATAGCAAAGTTACTTAGTTTTCAGTATTACTGTAAAGTTCCATAATGGTTAATCATTTTTTTCTGCATTAATAATATTAGTATAACATTATTGGAATTACTAAAGTGAAAAAAAAAAAAAAAAAACAGATCAGCAATGATTGTTTTGATGTTCAGAATCAATATTGTATTAATTAGAAACAAAACAACTAAATAAAATCACTTATTAGTACTTTGAGGGAAACCAGACAATTGTGGGTGATTCTTTCCAATCCATATTCTTGTTCAATCACAGCCTTAGAAACTATTTTTTCACCGGAGTACTAGGTCTTGGTAAGTATATATTGTATATTCTAGTAGGTACCGTTTTTTTCTTCTTCTTTATTCAAATGATATTTGCTATCAGAGGTTGAGCAACAAATCACGGGTAACTACTTAAACAATTAATAATATTTTCCTACCCATTTTTAGATGAATATTCAATAACTTTAAGGTATGCATTAAATTAATTGGAGCATTACATATCAGGGAGTTTCAGCTCAATGAATTTGTAATTTTAAGAATTTGAATGACTAATCAAGGGTCCTAAATTTATTCATGTACAAAAAAATAATAATAATACAGAAGGAAAGAAAAAGAAAACATATTAATAAACAGGAATAATTAACTTACATCGTAACTTCACAAGATTTCTCATGATTACAGAAAGGACAATCAAATTGCGTATCTAGTGGTACAATTGCTTTCCTTTTAGGAGGGGGTTTCCTGTTACTTTTGCGCCTCCCCATTTGTGATCTGTAAATAAACACAAAAATGAATGTTGATAATTAAAAACCAAAACTATGGGTAATTTCAAAATGTTGCAAAAGAAACAAACAACAAAATTGTAACAGAATAAGTCAATATATTTAAATTAACTGAACATAGTTCAACAAAAAAAGTTTTAAGATTCCAAAGGAATTTATACTTTGATCATACCGACATTTTAACATTAATAAAAAAAATAATTCATTAAACTCAATTGTGAAAAAATTAAAAAATTGTGACATTGTGACAAAAAAAAAAACTTATGTTAGTTAAGGACACACATGAATGAGATCTTTGAATGAAACTTGTATTAATGACTTCTTGAATATAAAAAAAAATTAGCAGATATCTGTAATTTATATCAAAAAGAAAGTAAAAGGTATACTGGCAGCCATACTGCAAAAGCCTGTAAATACAATTTAATTAGGATGCATGGTTTTGAATTTTCACGTTTAATCTTGGATTCGGATATATTTATAAAAACAAACTAAAACCGTTATTTAGACAATTACATCATTGTCTTAAGTCTGCAATAAAAATTGAAGAGAAAATAAACAAGATAAAATAAGAAATATGCGGTTTAATTTCTTTTATAAATAAATTTATGTTTTGCACTTACAGACTTTTGCAGTGTGGCTGTCGATATTATTCTTTTGCAGAATGGATGTAATAAAAGACAGCTATCTGAGAGTATTCCGAAAAACATCAATTCCTATCAATATAATGTGCTGATGTATAAGTATAAAATGATTTACAAAGAGTTTCCAAAATTAAAAAAAAAAAATATTTCTTAAAATTAATTCTTCAATTTTGATCCAAATCTTTAGAGTACTCTACTCCTTTTACTCCAGTTCTCTTTAATTTATTTTTTTCAATCCATTAAACTCTTTTCTGTATGACTACCTACTCTACTGTATGAATACTTACTTTATTGAATATAAATAGTCGGCAATTGATATTAAGCAAAAATTTAAAGATTAGTAATTATTTTTTTAAATTAAAACAATATTTAAATATATTGTAATTTTTCATGTAATTATTGTTAATTATAGTTTTTTGAAATTGCCAGAAGTTGATATTTGGTCTTATTTAGTGTATATAAACAAATAAGTATTAGAAAAAAATACTTATTTTTCTATCAATAAATACACTCATAAATTTTATTAAAAATTGTTTTTTTAACAATTTTTCACATGTACCATTTAACATATTACATAAAAAAGTCATGGAATATTTAAATATATTTTGCCGCATATTTTAATGTTATCCTATATATAAAATCTAACTAAATACATAAATTAATCATAATATGATTACTAATAAAAAAATAGTTAGTCCTTAAATGATTGAAATATTGATAATATAAAAATTCACAATTATTCCATAGCATTCATAATGTTTAGGTAAAGGTATTCAAGCATTAGTTTGGTTTTGTGTACTTGTGCAACTGATATTGTCTTGATCTGCTACAAGAAGAGAATTAGTTCAAAATATCAATAAGAGTATAAGACAATTTAATATTCCAAATATAAATAACAATAAGTTCATTTATTGGTATTTGTAATTCATTCTGCTGTTATAATATAATTGTTTCCTAAATTAATATAGATTCCGATGTATACACTATTGTTATGTAGCGTTTTTTTTTATAAAAGATACAAAACATTAAATAAAATAAAAGTAGTACTCAATAGTAATTATAAATAGCAATAGCGTCAGTACTCACTGTAACAGGGAATATATCCACAAACATTCACCAGGGCTGCACAACACCAACTGAACTACCCCTGTTCAAGAGGGGCAGGTGTTAGACCAGCCCTACCTGAAAGGGTCTCAAAGGCCCTAGGGTATAATGGAATTCTGGCACCATGGCCTGGGGAATTTTAATGCCGTGACGTCATTAAATATTGCTTTATTATCAATATAAAACATATTTTTATAGTTCTAAGTTGATAAGAGAGATTATTTTACTTTCCTTTACCTATATACAGCCGCGTGGAAAAGTCTTCGAACAAAGAAAATCTGTAAATGTTTCAAGTTAAATGTGTTTTTATCTTCTTAACTGCAAACTTTAATTATCAATAACATTATTAACTGCAAGATTTAAACTTGTAGGCATTGTAGATATAGTATCATTATATAAATAGGCAAACACAAATCGGTTCAGCCCCTTTTACTCCTCTATTATTCAACCGATTTTCTTCATTCTTTTTTTGTTTAATACATATTGACGAGCTTTAGTGTTATCAATAAATAAAAATCTTAAATAGTATGTGAATAAAAATATAAATGGTAGTTTGTTCAAAAGGCTTATCTCGAAAAACATTGACACAATGTCCCAATAATATTTAGATTTTTTTGTTCTATACGTTCTATTATCGTCGGGCCTTTCCTTTCGAAATGGCGGCCGAAAAACGTAATTCGCTTTAGACTGTAGCGCCAATACGGCTTCAACGATTTCAATGAAACTTGGCTAAAGTCTTCCCCTTGAAACATTTATAATTTATTTATATAACATACTTTCCCGAAAACAAGCTGCATACATTTTTATGATGAATTCAGTATTTTATTTGCGAATAACTCAAAAAGTACACATTTTTTTTTATTGATAATACCAGTATTTATTCGAAAGCTTTCTTGATTTCCTACAAAATGAAAAGAAAAAAGACTATCGAAATCTAAAAAGAATAAACTCCGAAATGAAACAATTCGTAACGGCCAAAGGAGCAAAGTGGGTTCAAATATTTTTTTAATGAGGAACGGAGTTGAGATTCTTCTTTCGCATCTTGACAAACCCTCAAATACGAATTTTCGTTGCAATCCAAAAATAAAAATTTTTACCTCAAATTTTCGTTAAGGCAAGGAGCCTTCAATTTTTTTTTTTTTAAATCACAAAAGTTGTGATAACTTCCTTCATGTATTTATAGCACTATAATATAGACGAACTGGCACAAACCAGAGGTCCATAAATAAATTAGGCTTGGAGAAAAAAAATGAAAACCTGTTTCCAGTTTTCCTTTATTTATTCCTTATGAGGGAGTTAAATATATAAGTTTTTTATATATGCTTAAAGAGCAACAACTAAGCTTTCCAACGGTCATACAAACATTGAATTAGGAGAATTCTTGAGAATATTGAATTAGGAGGTAGATCACCTCAACTACCAATATCATTATATAAATAGGCAAACACAAATCGGTTCAGCCCCTTTTACTCCTCTATTATTTAACCGATTTTCTTCATTCTTTTTTAGTTTAATAGATATTGACGAGCTTTAGTGTTATCAATAAATAAAAATCTTAAATAGTATGTGAATAAAAATATAAATGGTAGTTTGTTCAAAACGGCTTATCTCCGAAAATTCTTCACCGATTTTTTTAAAATTTTGACACAACGTAGCAATAATATTTAGAAGTTTTTTGTTCTATACGTTCTATTATCGTCGGGCCTTTCCTTTCGAAATGGCGGCCGAAAAACGTAATTCGCTTTAGACTGTAGCGCCAATACAGTTTCAACGATTTCAATGAAACTTGGCTAAAGTCTTCCCCTTGAAACATTTATAATTTATTTATATAACATACTTTCCCGAAAACAAGCTGCATACATTTTTATGATGAATTCAGTATTTTATTTGCGAATAACTCAAAAAGTACACATTTTTTTTATTGATAATACCAGTATTTTTTCGAAAGCTTCCTGAATTCCCTACAAAATGAAAAAAAAATCATCGAAATCGGACTATTTGTTGCAGAGATATATCATTTTAAACATTTAGTACGTTTTCTTTTCCTTCCAAGTTCCATTCTTTTATTTTGTTTTTTGATAAATCGAAAACTTTTCATTTACTGAGGTAATTGGGTCTATTATTTGAAGAGATGATATCATGTAATTCTAGTGGAATGATACCTAATAAATTAAATTTAAAAATATTTTCTACAGTTATAATCATTGTTAACCTAAATATTGAACAATTATTAGTTAATGGAACAGAAATGAGACTGTAGTATTAACGGGGGCTACTTTAAATTAAAGAATTTTAATTCCAAGAATTAATTTAACATTTTCTAACACTACTTACATTCGACTTTCAAAGAACAAGGTTCCTATTAATAGCTGCATTTGCTATGACCATAATAAAATCGCAGGATAAAAGTTTTGGAAAAATGTGTATATTATTGTGACGTCCAGTAATTTCGCATGGACAATTATATGTGGCAGCAATTAGAGCACATTCATTTAAAATATAAATTGGGCCTATGCACTAAACAATAACAGAACATTCAAATAGAACATTATTTACATAGAAGTTTTGAATAAAAATGGATTGCTAATTTAAATTTATTTTTTACTTGCTTAATCATAACATCAATTTATTGTTATAATAACACACATAAATTAAAATGAAAATTAACTATTTTTGAATGAATGTATTTTGTATTACTTATAAATAATTTTAAATGACTTGAGCTCGATCTTTAATTGAAACTGAAATTTTGTTTGTATTAATAAATGAGGATTGTTGAATCGTGATTTACTCTTTATTTATTCAATTTATTTTTTATTTAATTATATCTTTTCCTCAATTTTTTAATGGCTATGGTCGAATTTCGACCACTGGGCGAACAGTAGTATATTTAAATTTTCATTATTTTCAATTAACAACAAGACTAGATACCAATACGTTGTATTGACTTTTTACTATCCTCTGAATAATGCAACTTTATTGTTTAAATTTCACCATTAAGAAGCCACCTCCGTGTTTTACTGTTGATTGCAAACATAAAATTACACTCAAAATTTTCTATTACTCTTTGCCTCATTTCTGAACCAAATATATCAAATTTTGAATTATCTTTCTATAAAACTTCCATTTTTCTTCCGTCCAATTTCCGTGTTGTTTAGGAAACGTAAGTCGCTTTCGGTTGAGATCGAAAATATGATTTTCTTCTGGCAACACAACATTTAAAGCCAAATGTTAGGAGTTTTATTCCTTCCCCATCTAAGATATTTTATTCTTTTCTTCTTAAAAACAGTGCAAACGAAAGTAGAATTTGAATATTTGTAGATTATATACTATTACACGTGCTGTGGTCTGTTTGATGATTCCGCTCAACTTTGAAGAGAAATAATTACATTTTTAATCAAGCTAAAGCTAAAAGCTTACAGCTAACAAATCATAAATAACATTAAAATAACAAAAGCCCTATTTATTATATCACTGGTTGATTATGGGTTGTACGCACTAGCGGATCCAGCCGGGGTGAGGGGGGGGGGGCGCAAAAATTCATCCTCATTCATGAATTTCCTAAAGTAGTATAAAAAAAAAATATATTATCGTAACTAGCACCAGCGGATTCTACCGGGAGGCGGGCCCTCACTTAGATGATGGGAAAAAATTGCAAAAAAACATCTATATAAAGAAAAGATAAATATAGAGAAAATTCATCCTCATACACTAATTTTTGAAATGTAATATTAAAACAAAATGTTATCGTGACCAGAACTAGCGATTTTTACGAGGGAGCGCGCCCTCTCTTGGTTGATGGAAAAAAAAATTCCAAAAAGTATCATTTAAAGAAAAGAGACATATAGGAAAAATTATTATCCTCTAAGACGAATTTTCTAATTTATATAAAAAAAAGTATTATCGTGACCAGTACTAGCGGAACCAGCCAGTGGGCTCGCCCCTCTCTCCCCTTGATAGTGTGGAGAAAGTTCCAAAAAGCAACTATTTATAGAAAAGAGAAATATAAGAAAAATTCATCCTCTAAGACGAATTTTCTAATGTGCTTAATATCATCATCCCGAGCTCGACAATCCATCACTGGATCTTGGCTGCCTCAAGAGTTTTCCTCCATGTTTCCCTGTCCTCAGCAGCCTCCACCAGTTCCTGATTGCATGGATTCTAGCATCAGCACTTACTCCATTTTCCATCTCGGTTTCGGTCTGCTCAATTTTCTTTTTCCGCCCGGCTCCATGCTCAGCAGCTTCTTTGGGATTGAGATCTCTTCCATCCGTACAACTTGTTCCTCCCATCTCAGCCTTGTTATTCGGCTATATTTCACCACATCCGTCTCTTTGTATAAGTTAGCTAGTTCTTTGTTGCGTCTAATTTTCCATTCTCCTTAAGTGGGCCAAATATTCTCCGAAGAATCTTCCTTTCGAAAACTAATATTTTAAGCAACTGTTTAATGAAAAGAGAACTATGAGGAAAATTCATCCTCATTGACGCATTTTCTAATGTAATATATTAAAATAATTACTATCGTGATCAGTATTAACGAATTTTGCAAGAGGAGGAACCTCTCCTTGGATGGTGGACAAAAAATTCCGAAAATGTTCCAAAAAGCAGCTATTTAAAGAAAAGTGGCGTAGTTTTTGGGCCGCCATGAGATACAAAGGCTCTTGCTCCTGTCGCAATTTGTTCCCATTGACTCCGAACTGAGTCTCGCAGGTGAAATACATGATGGAGGAAAATTTATTAAAAAAATGAACTTTATTTATTCTTTCGAACAACCTTTTATTCGAACACAAGAAAATACTCGGACCCAGTTTTATTCATTTCCAATAGATCTGGACGCATTTCAACCTCCACCTATTATAATCTCCTTGAAGAATCCATGCGATTCATAAAACTGGTCACAATAATAATTTGTATATTTCTCGTTACAAAGTGGTGTTCGTTTCTTAAAATAGCTGCAGTTGGGAACGTTTTCATGAAGGAAGTTACCAATTATTTGGTCTCCGATTTGATCGGAATAGGAAATTATTCAGAAGTTTATTTTTTTTCTTAGAGAACTCAACAGGACCATTTATAGTAATCTTTCTCAGATTTTGATAATGTCGGTAAAAATTAGCGTTCATTGACCGTGGTTATCGACCATATCACGTAATCAAATTATTAAGTTTAGGTACTCGTTGGACGCACAATTTGGCGTTCTTTAATTTCTTAAACAATACGTTTTTCGCTTTGATGCACGGCTTAGTAGTAATACTTGGAAAAAAATAGATAAACCTGGATTCTTTTGCTGAAAAAAGTCTAAACCCATATACGGGGTGTCTCGTAAGTAGATGAGAATACTTAAAGTAGTGATAGCAGAATTCAATAAATACAATAAAGTTTTTTAAAAACAATGGTTCGATTTTCAATAGGAAAGTAGGGAATCAAAGTTTTGTGATTTTTTATGTAAGTTACGGTTTTTGTTGAATAGGAAATGATAACAAAACATTATTAAATTTAAGTATTTAACGATTGCTACATTGTAAACTAGACAAAATTTATCTTAAATAAAAGTAGAGTTTGGTTTTGAGCGGCTAAACTCAGCTAAGGAGTGGAGGGAGCTGGGTAGTAGTGGGGGAACGGGTAGGAGTGGGGAAAGCACGTGGTACAGATGTGCGCTCGCCCCTCCCCCGAGAAAATTCCTGGATCTGCCACTGAAGACCGCTTAATTATACAATGATACGCCGAGTTTAATCAGAATCGTTATAGCCGTTTTTGAGAAAATTGTAAAAATGTATTTCATCGTTGATATAAAGTGGCACTTCAGGTTAGCCGATTTTAAGGAAAAAGTTGCTGTCACATCTAAGGCATATATCTATGCTAAATACGTAATATCAGTTTCGTACATTTCGTTCTTGAGCTAGACTGCTAACATACACACACACACACAGACCATTTTGTGGGACTTGATTATTTGGAGTACCTCAAAACGTGTATTTCCGTTGAAAATTCAGATTCGAAAATCTTCACGATCGCAATACTTTACCTTAATATATATTACATATATAGGTAAGTGGGGATATAAAATGGAATATTAAAAAAAAAAAATTGACATTTTGCATATTTTTTATCTAATATTGAAATTTTAAAAAATTACGTATGTTATTTTAAATTATGTATAATTTGTACTTGTAGTACACCTGTCTTTCGTATTTCTATAACCAAGTTATTGTTACAAAGAAAGACTTTTTTTTTTTAGTAATTGCAGGGTTGAATGAAAATAGTGACGCCTTACTTAGGGTTAATTCATTAATTGTATTAGATTTGTGTTGTAAATACGAACTTATATGTCAAATACTAGTCGATTCAGGATTTCATTTTGGGAGGGCCATAACCAGAAATTTTTTTTTTCAATTACAATGGTAATTACTTTGTTAGAAAAAGAAAGAAACTAACTACCTATTCGAAATGGTGCTTAAGTATTTCTTGAAGTCCTATTAAATATAATTAGACGAATAATTAAGATATAATTTTTAAATATTTTTTTCCATGAAACATGGTTATATTTTCCATTTTTATTTTTGAGAGGGGGAGGTGGGGCTTCAGCTTTCCCTTGTAGATGCACCTATGATGTCAAAGAATAATGTGATGTTTTCTTTTTCTCTCCTGATGATGCCTGTACTGGCGAAATGTTTATGGGTTATTTTATCCTTTACCTGCATTTTAAAACCATAAGGTTGTGGTTAGATCTATCCAATTACAATCTAAAGTCTATTTTCTGTAACTTAGTGAGTTCTTACTCCTTTATATTAATTGTATTTAATATTAATATTTAATTTAATATTATTAACTTAATTCTCTCCCTTCACATTTGGATGAGACCTACCTGCCAATGCTGCATGTGTATTATCATGTCTAAAAAAATAAAATAAAAGGTAAGAACATATGGCAGACACCTGCTGAGGTAACACATGTCAAGTATCAAGGTTATCCAAAAATAATTTATGTTTTGCAATTGATTTCCTTTAATCACTCTAATCCTGTCCTCCACACTCTTACATTTTTAACCATAATCCTGTCCCCCCACTCTTCATCAGCTTGGTCATCATTAACTGGTTGAGTTATAAGTGTAAAAATTGTCAAGTTATAACTGACAAAGCTATAAATGATTATCTTTCTGTTAAATTTTGAAGAATAATGTTTGAAAATCTATATAGCAATCTAATTAAACTTTTTTTCTATCTATATAGCAAATTATCTATATCTATACATAGTTCTACAAAAAATTTCCTATGTAATACTAGTGGATTCTTCGTAAATTAATTAAGAAATTAGTTTTTTTATCATCATGTGTTTGACCAAGGTTTTCGACTATTCCACCTAATCACATTATTAAGTGGAGGTAATAAATAATCTGCTACAAAAGTTATTTTTATTTTATTTCTTAAAAAGTGAATTTCATCACTTCTATGTATCATTCAGGACCTATAGGTGAAACACAAAAATATATATTGATGTTACCATATTTGAAAATCAATTATAAAATTATCTTTTTTTTTCCCCGCTTGTCGACTTTAACTTTTCAAATCATGAGTCTGCTTCAGCAACTTGGGGCTGTTATAGGTGACTGTAGTGATCGTTTAGTTCTCTCTTCTTTGAGATTTTCAGGGAACACGAGGTATACTATCCAGACGCGATCACACAATTTCATTTCCCATGCAACTTAATGAAGATCTCAATGTGGCCTGCTGGCTGATTTGGGCACCTCTGGTCTACGCACTTGTACATTCTGACTAACATTTATGTTAATAATCTTTTTTTCTTAATTGAAAATTAAATCTTGATTATAATTAAAGGAAGATATTTAAATAACTGGATGTAATTTTTGAATGATTATGGTAATTTTTTTTTACAGATTTCATCACTCTCTATATTGAATGAAAAGATAATAAGTAATGATCTTTGTGTTTCATATGTAATTCCCTCAAATACTCAGACAGAATCTATATTTAAAAGGATTATATAATCAGAAAAACACGTTGATGAGGATGCTTTAACAAAGTTATCATGCTGTTAAAAAAAAAAAAAAAAAAAGGAAGATTTAAAGAAAACTAATTGAAAAATATGTTTATTTTATTATTAATCCACCTATCTCTGTGATTTCAAACCTCAACTGAGCTGATTGACAGACCAATCTTAATTATGACTTATCAAAATGACTTAAAAATTATCAACTCAATATTTTAAAAAATGTATTATTTTTTTACCGATAGCTAATAATCTGTAAAATTATGTTATTTAAATTAAATCAAATTTAATAAAGTTAATATAATTTTTAATGGTATTTTATACATTGAGGAATATAATCTCTACATGAAGGGAAGCCAAAAGGCTTGGGAGGATGCTGGTGGGAATTTCCCACTTTCATGATTAATGCCATACCGAGCTCCCCATGGAAAGACCAATGGCAATGTATAAACCAATAGCCTGAAATAAGATATCAATTATATAACATTATAAAAACATCTCCATGTAGCTACATTAAGAAAAATAAACATTATTGCACCTGGATTGTCAGCTACAAATTGCATTATGACAACTCCTTGACGTGGCACTGTAATCACATCTTTTATTGGGCGGCAGCGAGATTTGGTTCGATTACTATGTGCAAGCTTTATTAATTGTTCATCTGACATATTCACATACTCTGGACCACCTTCTTGAAATGAAACTTGTGCATTATATCCATGGATGTGAACTGGATGAGTAAGAAAATTAGCTAAAAATAATATAAAAAAGAAACTGTAAATAACAAAATAATATTTAAATGTGAATAAAAACGGTCTTTGATCGATTGATGCAATTTAGTTCATAAATAAATAAAAAGTAAAGCAATATTTTCTGTTTTCAAAATTTTTATATGTAAAATATTTATCATAGACACTTCAAATTTCGGGGTTTCGTCCTATTATTTCCTTAGTTCAACTTTATTTTTTTCTTTTACACCCTTGATTTCAGCTCTTTAGCCCATTTTCAAAGGAAAAACTTTATAAAATAAAAATAAATGCATTTGTATTCATTTTCTCAAATCACATGCTTTTATTTAATTTAGGTGTATATTTTTATTCATATGAAATATATTGTCATTTAAACAATTAATTCTTATTTAAAAATTTAATTTATATAACATTTAATTGTTGAAATATTACCCCATTCCCTTATTCCTTCCACTCCAACTGATGCCATTCAATCAACTTCTGTAGTCCTTTCAACTTGCCCTTTCCATCTCACATTCTCAGCTGTATACTGTCCTCCTGGTAATTCCCTCTTCTATAACCTCCTTGATTCCTTATTCCAATCCCTCGGATCGCGCTTCATTGCCCAAGGAGACTACAATGCTAAACACCAACGATGGAGTTGTCGAACATCCAACCCCCGCGGTAACATCCTATCACGTGTTTCATCTTCCAAAAATTATTCAATCCTTTCGCCCATGAGTCCTACTTATTGGCCAACATCCCTCAAAAAACGTCCCGATATCCTAGATATATTTATAACTTCCCAGATCTCCTCTTCACAAACCATAATCAAATCCCTTGATGACCTTTCTTCAGACCATAGTCCAGTTCTACTTTCCCTACATTCGGGCTATGCTCCTAAACCATCACCTCCTAAACTGATTACAGGACGAGTAAACTGGGACAAATTTCGTGATGATTTGGAAAACAAACTAGACTTAAAAATTCCGCTAAAGACAAAAGAGGACATTAATGGTGCCATTGAAAAACTGACAGCATCAATAACAGACAGTATAAATAATAATACCTTTATCAATAAGTTTAACAATTCACAAAAGACTGACTTGCCACAGCATATTCGTATCTTATTGAAGGAAAAACGCAGAGCAAGATCGAAGTGGCATAGAACCAGATACCCAACAGATAAAACTCATTAAACCCAACTGACTAACAAACTAAAATCTGAAATTAGAAAATGCAAAATTCAAAATTTACTAAATTTTACTGAAAAACTTACACCTACCGACAAATCACTATGGACGACCACTAAAAGGCTCCTGAAATTTAAAGACTGTAATCATCCACTTCTTACTGAAGCTCAAACCTGGTCCAAATCCGATGAAGAAAAATAACAGATCAAGATTCCCGTGCAGAATGTACTGCACGGGAATCTTTCTCGATGTAGAACAGGCTTTTGATCGAGTCTGGCACCCAGTACTGCTTTACAAACTTCGTAAATTCCTACACCCTACATACTTCCTCATTACGTTTCCGACTACTCCAGCACTTAGACAAAAGCTCTAAGCTCCCAGTCAATTACAAAAGACTCATATACATGACTACAATAAGACCTATTTGGACTTACGGAGTTGAGCTCTGGGGCTCCACTAAGCCATCAAATTCCTCTCGTATCCAATCCTTACAATCCAAAATCCTTCATAAAATCCTCACAGCTCCTTATTTTGTCACAAACAAAATCGTCCATAACGACCTTAATGTTCCTTATGTTTCTGACCTTGCCCAATCTAGATACCTATCCTTCCATAACAAACTTCAGAACCATCCTAACCCTATCGTTTCTAACCTTGCTTCCTTCTCGATCCCTGACAACCCTCCAAGGCGTCTGAAAAGAAGATGGATCTTCTTTTGTAAATACATTTTTAGAGTGCTACCAGTGGGTAATTTCTCAACAAGTGATTTCATGTTGTTATAATCTTTTGTTCACATTTACTGAATGTATTTTTACTTGTAATACAGTTGTAAATATCATTAATACAAATTTAAAAAAAAAATTGTTGAAATAACAATATACCTTAATATGCAAATGAAAATATAACTCAGTTTTTAACAAATAACATGTAGATATAAAAATGAAAAGATTACTGTATGGTCTCTGTATAGGAAGAACCCCAAAAAATTGAATTGATTATGATCAATTTTTTTTTCAAATAACATGGTAGATTTTGCTTCGTATTTTACTAATTTCTTAATGATTGTTAGCATCTCCCAATAGACCAAAATTGATTATCAATGTTCTGAACTTTGTTTTGCTAAAAGTTTTGGAATAAATAAAATAGGAAGTATTACATTTGAATCTCATGATAAGTGTAACACACTAAAAGTTTTGGAATAAATAAAATAGGAAGTATTACATTTGAATCTCATGATAAGTGTAACACACGCTTTAAGGGGAACTGGATAAACAGCAGTACATTCACAAGGCATTTTCTTGTCTATGTTTCTGTCCATACATGTATGATTACAGAATGTTCCTGGAGGATTGTACTTTGCAGATCCAAGTAAAGTTGTGGAAGGATTTGAAAAAATTATATCATTTACTGTTGCTATAAATATGGAATATAGTCCGGGTCCTGAAACAAAATGGATGAATTTACCAGCAAAAAAAGATATGAGCTTACTTAAAAACAAATGAATACAAATTTTAAATAGTCTTATGCAATATTTGTTGAAATGGAAATATTTTATTTCATATTTTTATAATCTTGGCTACTACCCATTGCCAGGTCCATGCCTTCATCAGCAAATTTTCCCTGTGCGGTTCTGTCCACCTGGCATTCCAAAGACATTCTAAAGGTCAGCTGAAACCCTGAATATCTAATGTTTCACACGATCATAGATCTCCTGGTTTGTACTTGTTCTTCAGGTCCTGTCCTCCAACACATCTTAAAATATCCTTTGAAGGATTTCCCACTCAAATACCAGGAGACTTTACTATTCATGGTTGATATTCAAGTTTCTGAACCATGAGTACTAGGTGGTTTTTGGTCCTATAGAAATATAATTTTGTTTGATGCAGAGAACATGGCTTCCAAGCTGATTATTTTGGCTGGAGTAATACTGGTTCTCAACCTCTTGCTCACTGGATGGTTCAAACTCAACTTATGCTCTGTCAACCTTCTCTGGGTTGATATTTGAGTATGAGTTAGTCAGGAGTTCTACAAAGTATCTCATCCTTTGTCTTACTGTATCTTATCAGTAATAAGATTATTTTCTTTGTCCTGGTCAGAGGTCTGAACATTGGTTAGGGGCTTTAAAAGTTTACAACAATCAAGGTCCTTCATGGGCCATAGCCTTCAAGCTCTAGTCTCTTCTCCTCTAAATGAAGTCTTCTATATTCCTCGACAATTTTCCTTCTCTTAGCTGTCTCTGAGAAAATTAAATCTTTGTGATTCTTTCTTGCCCTTTTTCTTTTATAGTCTTTGGTCATGCCTCTTTTTACTCTGTGTTTTAGTTTCATACACGTAAAATTAATTTTTTTAATTGTCTTTTTACATTCTTTATCATATCAATCATTTCTTCTTTTCTATTGTCTTTTCATTAACATCCTTTGTAACACTCTTCAATGAATTTTTTAAATCCCACCAATTCTCTTGGTACCAATTGACTCTATGGTATTCTAGTTCTCTAACCTCTTTTGAAGTTTCTTCCTAAATATATCAGGAGTCTGTCCCATGTTACTCCCGTCTGACCTTGCATGTGATGCTGTTCTGAAATAAATTATTGTTAACTATTCAAACTCTATTTCTATTCAGTAATAACAGTAGCTCTACAATGTTGTTTATTATCTAATACATTTCCACTCACAAAATTACTCTAAAATAAATTAACTTGAAAAAATATACTATGTATTAGCAATTTTATTTAAGGAAAAAAAATGAGCCACAAACTATTCTACAGCTCCAGATCCTAAACTGATAATGATAGATTAATTACCTATGTAAACTTACTAAAATACTGTTCATATTTCATAACTTCAAAATGATCCCTAGTGATAGGAGCTAGAGAGAAGTCATAAATATATGTCTTGCTTATGGGGCACATATGTTTATTTGAGGGGTCTATTGGAGGAGTACTGCAATCTCCCTCCATGTCTATAATACAAATATCCTTTGCTTTTTCTTTTTTAGATCTTGTCTGAGCACAAGTTGTTTCAATAGCATTGCAAGTCTGAAAAGCAATGTCAAATAATATAATATATGTCACTGAGCCCATATGTTAGTATTCACATAAACTGTAAATTATGATATAATGTTTAATAATCATTCAAAATAACATTTATAAAGAAGAAGAAACTAGTTTAGTCTAAATTACCTAAGATTACCAATCTGTTAAATAGTGTCCATGGAAAATATTATCTAATTTTTATCTTATCAAATATATCCAGATGAACATTTCATACAATAGAGTGAGAGGTGGATCAATAAAATGTTTACTGAATAAAATATAATGGGGAAATTTATCTCATAGATGAATAAATTGAATTAATACAATAATATGAATTTCAAAAACTAAATAATCAAATAAATAAGAAGAAAAAAAGTTTGAAATGACTGTGTAATCAAATCGATATTTCTATATTCAATCTAATATTTATTTATAAAATTGCTTCTAACATATAGAGCCATTGAACTCAACTATTCAAATGTTGAACACAAAATTTAGGCAATGTCAAGAACAGTGAAACATCTCTATAGCTGACAAAGTTATAAAACCTCACACATTTTCAATTATTTTATAGCTCTAAGGATTTATGTTTATCAGAGGCTCTCTATTACAGATGTGGACAGAACTAATGTTAGGTTTTGGTTCTCCAAAATGGACAGCAGGAAACCAAGGATACATTTATTCTGGGAACTTTAACTTTATTTATAATAGCTTATTCATATTGGGAAGTCGGTTTGGTTGTATGGATTGTAGTTTGAAGCCAGTCCTAGGTCCCTAGGGTGGGGCAACCAGGGTAATTGCCCCTGGGACTGATCATCAGGGGTACTCGCCACTTGTTAGAAATTTAAAAAACAAATACAAAACGTATTAAAATTATTATTATTAAATACTATTAATAAAGCAACTGTGAACGAGAAATATTTAATGAAACAAAAATTTAAATATAACTATTTAATATAAATAATATAAAACAGCTTAAGAAATAAATATAATTTTTTTAGGAAGATGAGGGTGAGATGATGTCATTGTCGAGGGAGGCTGAATGGCTATGGCCGGTACCTTTTTTACCTTTCATTCTTAGTTCTCCTACAGAATTGATCAACAATATGTTAACAATTTAAATATAAAAGAAAAATATTATGTGATCATTATTATATGAGCTAAAAAATTATTATTTGTAAATTATCAACTCGATTCAAAATTAGAAAAACTTGTTAATCAAATTTTAAAAATAATATCCCAAAACTCCAGGTCTTGCCATAGGGATCAAGTATAATTTCTCTATTGAAACTGTTTTTTGATTAAAAAAAAAAAAAAAACTGCAGGAAGTTAAGTCCAAATGATTTAAGTTGTCAACTGTATGGTTTGATGTATGTATGCACATCAGATTACACCTCAGAGTGGCTCCTTAGATGCTTTTTTATTTCAAATAGAGTAACTAAAGTAAAGGAGCTTTTTTCTCTTGAAGGTAATTAAAAAAACAAAGTAGTAATCCAACTAAAAGTTAAACAAAATTAAAGTTGTATTTGTCATTAATTAACTAGTTATTAACTTAATTACAAAAATTGCCAGGGGTTGGGGTGGTGTAACGTCATGTTTTTTAGAGCTGTCACCACACTATTTTACTGTTATCCTACAGATACTTATATATTACCTATTGTTTATATGTAAGCACATTCTTATAAATCTAGTTATAATTCAAATGTTAACTTGTGCCTTTCTTTATTTTAATTTCAAGACCCAATAGCAATGTAATTAAATTTACTACAAGAAGATGATTAACTTGTAGGCCAGTCAAAGTCATAAAATTTTTCATTATAATTATTATCAGGGGACTGCAGGGCCCAGAATAAAATTTACTTTTCTTCATCTTCTGTTCTTTTTCTTATCAATAATTGTTAAGGTTAAACCATTCTTTGCGAAACAAGATTTTCAGATCTAAATACAGTGCACAGTGCACTAGGGAGGGGTAAAGAGGGACGTTACCCCTGATGGCATTAAATTTTGGGACAACTTGTTTTTTTATATTATGTAAAAAATATTTGTTCCTATATTTTGGTTGTTTTGACCTTGATGTGATTATTGAATCAGTGAAGTCAATGAAATTAATTAATATTTATGTCTAAATATGCTATTTAAAATGCTGATATATTTAAAAATAAATTATCTAAACTTTTTTTTTAAGATTAATTCTTCTTCATATTGAATTCATATTTGAAAACATAAAAATTAGGCTATTTTTCTACAGTTGACTATAACCAATATAGCTTGTAATAGCTGTTATTATGTCAACGTTGTGTAAATAACTATAATTCAGAACCATATAAGTAAGTATTTTTTTTCTAAACCTTAATCTATTATTAAATGAAACATAAAAAATTACTTGAAAGAATGCAGTATTCTTACTCTATTGTATTTTAATGGAAACATAGTCCTATATTTTAGCTCCGTTTCTTTAAAGTTGACAGTTTTATTGTTATACCGCAATACAGCATAGCTTTTAACATTTTTGCAGTTTCCAACACCTTCTACTAAGACTAAGTAAACTCGATCACTACTTTGATTAGCATGCAATATGACATCAAATCTTTCAGCTGTAACAGAAGCATAATTTTTTTAAATTAAAAAAATGTTGTTCAAAGATCAATAGTTATTAAAAATAATTAGAGTTACAGAGTGGAAGACTTGGGACAACCAAAAAAATAAAAGAATAAAATTATAGAGATTATTGTTTTGTGGATTGGAAGTTGAAAAAATAGGTATACTTATGACCTTACACTTGTGATAGAATTGATGTATCATGTGCCATGGCTAGGCCTTTTCAAAAAGCGAGTGCCAGTAAATTTAATGCTGCTGCATTCCTGTTGTAGAATTCTTGCCCTTCCAGCCATGCTTTCAATCAAACAGTCTTGAATTACTTACTACCTTCTTTATCTTTGGATGACTTCCATCCACGGATTCTATGCAGTTTCTTCAGGATCATCCTCTACCATCGCTCACTCCACAATTGAAAAGATATTGGACTATTAAAAAGATTATAAATCTTTGGTATTCCTGGTATCGCTGGTATTCCTTCTCCATCTTCCTTGATAAGGACCGTTACAAACTTTCACAGGAGAATCATTTTTTCAGAAAATTGTGACACATTGCCTAGGTCTCGGTTGAGGTCTTCACATTTTACATGAAAATTGAGTGTAGCACAGTTTTTACAGAATAATTTGATAATAAAATTATTTTATAAGTGATGTCTCAACCAAAAGTAGCTGTGGTTTGCAGGTGCTCTTCTTCTTAAACTTGTCTCTGTCATTATTTCAGTATGTAAACTAAGATATGTGAATGTGAAAGGTATGTGAATTTGACGTTTTACTCAAAGAAGTATGTACCAAACTGCACCTTCTCTCTGGGAATAGTGGGCATTTTGGACACAGTGCACTTACTTTGTAAATCTCCAGAACAAGTCTTACGTTTTCTTCTAAAACAGAAAATGCTTCCCTGTGACCTGACTAATTATCTTAACTAATTTATACTAAAGAAAAATATTGATAATACCAGTTGCATTTAAAAGTAATAATTAATAAAATCATCTTGTACTTTAATAAGGTGTTCTCATAAAAAAAAAAAAAAACATCCTCAGTTCATACAAAAGATGTTTTGTTACATGAGCATATAATAATGATAATAGATAATCATAAGAACCAAATAGAAATTTTTGTTGAAGAGAATGACAATTTTTTAATGGGTATAGAAACATGGATGAGAAGAATGTTATAAAAAAAAAAAATCATCCGTTTGAAGGAATATTAAATATTAATACAATTTATCATATTTTTTTTGAGAATCATCCCAATAAAAATATGAATGAGTTTGATTTTATCTATTAAAAATCTAGTTTGGATTTCAGCATCACAGCTAGACTATTGCCTAGTAATAATACAACATTTTCAGTACTTTCATCATTATTGCTTTGAACAAATAAACTTATGGTAATTGTTTTTTTATTTGTTCAATGAGTTTTACCTGCATTAACAATAACTGTGTCACAGCCGATTGGTTTGATCTTATGCCCTCCATCAAGAGTTATAATAGTCACAGGATGACTTTCAATCTGAATTGCATAAGCACATGTATAGCTGCAAGTTCCAATTATTCTGATTCGATATCTTTTACCATGTTGTACATTAAAAACTGTAACTGGCAAGTACTTTTGAGAGGATTCCTGAAAATATTCATATCATCATAATTTCAAATTTTGCTTATTAATTAGAACAATAATTGTTGGCATATTCTATATATTATAAGCTATATATAAAGAAATATAAAATTTATAACACTGGAATGTAAAAAAAAAAGTAAATATATACTACCAGGAATATGAAGAAAAAAGATAAATTACTACAAAAAAAAATCTGGTGCGTGCAATACACAATTTTTACTTACCGTTAAACTTTTAATAGAAATTATTTTATGGCCATGTTGGGGTATTATAAAATTTTTGAATTATATTTGTAACCGAGTTAAAGCTAAAAGATTACAGCTAAAAATTCTAAAATACTATTGAAATAACTAAAGTCCTATTTATTATATCACCCATTGATTATGGATTGTAGGATTTTTCGATTATGCACTGTATGATCTATTGATTATGGATTGTACGACTATTAGTTATTAAAATGTTATTTTACATTGCAAAGTTTACTTCCACAGAATTAAGAGATTTGCCTTGTCTGTCATAGTCAGGTCAAAAGTTGTCCCACTAATTGTAAGTGGACACTGTTGGGATATCGTAAAGGGAAAATCATCAAATTATTCACTAATTTAATTTTCTAAAACTTTACATTTAGTATGAAGATTTAATTTAATTTCCTTGAAAACATGTGAATTACGTTAATAATGTTAGTTTATAGAAATTATTATTTATATATTTTTTGTCACTTTCTGTTACCTTCTACAACTTTCCCTATATATTATATATTGTTTTTTTAAAGGCAACATTCACTGATATATTTAAAAAATAAAATAAAAAATGAAAATTTGCCATACTAGAAAGATAAAAATGCTCATACATTATAATGAGGTGCTCTCCCATTAATCAAAATTGTTTCTGGTGAAAGATTTTGCTTATGTATTGTGAATCCAGACACTAGAGTTCTAGCAGGATGAAGAGTCCAATCAATGATCAATATTGAAATATTATCAAAATCATACAAATATTTCAAAGGTTCGAAAATGCACCTTACAATTAAAGCTCCTAACAAACCATCCAGCCTTTGCATACCTTAAACAAAATAATAATAATAAAGAAATAAAATGACACAATAAACAAAAGAAATGATTGAAAAAGAGATAATCCACAAATTGCATTAAGAGAGAAACACTAAACAATAATTTTTAGTTGATGTAAATGTTTACCTGTATGGGAATGATACCAAAATGTTCCGCACTCAGTGACCTTAAATATATACCTGAATTTATTCCCTGGTGGTATTGGACATTGCGTAATATAAGGCACACCATCATAATATTGGTTCCCATCCATTTGTCTAAGACCATGCCAATGTATAGTTGTTGTACTTTCATGCATTATATTCACAACATCAACCACCAAGGTGTCATTCTGACATATCTAAAAATGAAAAAAATAATTGGAAAGATATCTTAAAAAATGACTATTATTAATAAATATACAAGCTTTGAGCCCTTATAAACTTGTAAGAGATATTCTAACAATTAATTTAATATTAAAAACAGCTATTAGGTTTACTTCGATCTGTGGTCCTGGCATTTGTCGATTAATAGAGATAATAGCTCTTGGATAGCCATTGGCTGATATGCATCCATATTTGAAACAGTTTTCCATGATTTCAGGACATCCTAGACAAGCCCTGAATCAATGAAAACACATTTAGGTACTATCCTAAAAGGTTTTTAAAAGATTATAGCATAAGTATAATTTTTTTAAGTGGTACCACTTAATAATAAATGAAATTCTGGTTATGTTATTAATGCTGATTACCCACCTATGAAATGATTTGATAATAATATTAACATGATCATACTTTGAACATGAAAGACTCATTGACTGGCAAGATCATGCTTTATATACTGGTACTGGTACAAGTGGGAGGAACTAGTTGGACAACTCATTCTTTTTTTTTTTTACCATTTATTAATTGTATAAATGAGATGTATATTTTATTAATGTAAATAATTTGTAATTTCTTCATTTCATGTGCTTACAAAGTACTATCAAATATATTTTTCCAGCGCCTCCTTCCATATGCCAAGTGAGAAATCAGATAGTACCAATGGGGATTTATGTGTGGAAAGTCAATAACAGACCAAATTTTTAGTCTTCACGGAGTTTTGGAAAAAGGTAGGGATAGACTCAAGACTCATCATCTGTTTGTCATTTTTAGGTCTACATCTGATAGCATTGATCGGAATAAACTATACAATGCCCTCATAGAACTTGATATATCTCCTAAACTTGTGCGTCTGGTAAGGATGAGCATGACGGTCATCGAATGCTGTGTTCAAGTCCAAAGAAAGCAATCAGGGGGTTTCAAATAAAACAGTAAGAGAATTGAGGCAAGGAGATGCTTTGGCATGCCTCCTCTTTAATTTCCATCTTGAAAAAACTGCCAGAGATTCAGGAATTTGGACAACAGGCACAGTATTCAACATAACATTTCAGCTTCTAGCATATGCTGATGATGTGGACATAGTTGGCAGATCAAGTTGCATGCAGCAATAAAATCTCAACGCAGAGAAGAATGATCTCAATAAATTGCTGTAATTATGGACTCCGCACACACCTATCCAGCAGACTTGTCTCGCAACACACAAGGTCATCTTCTACAAAACCCTCATTCATCCTGTTTTGATTTATGCTTCTGAGACCTTGACCACTGCAAAGGCAGATGGAAGATACCTGCTTACGTTTGCAAGAAAAATTCTTTTGCCAAATTCATGGGCCACCCTTTGGGAGCAGATGATAGAGAAGGTATAGAAATAGAAAAATCTGCACCATCTATAATGAGCCTGATGTAGTAGCAATTATCAAGGCAGGAAGATTAAGATGGGCTGGATTCGCAAAGGTAGATATATCGATGAAAAAATAATGTAGTGTTAATTTTATTGAATTTTGTTTACTTCTTTCTCTTATATATGCGCAAACGTGTTTTCTATGATTCATCTATATCTTCTAATCGATTTAGGATAATAAATCCTAGATCGATTTGGCTCAAATTTGGAGGGAAGTTAGGGATTGGTAAAAAAAAAAAAATCCGCTTTCAGATCAGGAAATTTATTATTTGACACGCCTATAGTTTGAAAACTTCGCGTTCGATTTGACTCAAAGTTGGAGGAAATTTGGAGAATAGTACAGAAATTACCTGGTATCAACTTCATTGAATTCCATTCAATAATTAAAATTAATGTAAATAATTGTTAACAATATATTGGCTGTGAAATGTGGAAGGCATTGATAATCTGGAGTAGGAGTTAACACAATATTTTTATGAGGTTATAGAATTATATTTTAGGTTTAATTTAAAAAGTTAATTTATAATGTATTGTTTGGTCGATTCCAAACATTACTGTTATGACACTTGCTGTCGTAATTAGATTCGTAATTAGATTTCGTGTAATTTTCTTTAAATTTCAATTAATTTTTACTCAGTTTGTAGACAAAAAAAAAAAACAACATATTTTTGATTGTGTTTATTTCTATGTAGTTCAACTAGCTCGTCGTGTTCCCGGTTTCATCCTTAAATATCAAAGTTGTGTGAACTTCACACATATTTTTATATTAGAATTAATTCCGAACAAACAAAAAGTTGAATTTGTCCTATTAAGTATATATCACTACTTTTACTGTAAAAGGTCGTATGTAAATATTTTCAACTTTTAATCTATTTCTGCTAAAGGTGACATTTTGTAGTCTGCAACTCATATAAGCAATTTGCAACTGATATAAGCAATCTGCTACGATGGAAAACAACAGAGAGCAATAAAATATAAAATTATACTAATAAATCATAAAGAAACAATTAGTTATTATGCTCTTCTGTAAAACATTAAATTTTTACACTCGGTCTTTTGCACTAACAGTAGTGATATTAATGTTCAGTATGCACTGGATTTTTTTAAAAATTACGAATCATCAAATATGCAATCTACAAATGCAGAACTCTTTCACATTTTAGTATTCAATGAACAAAACTCTTGAATATCAAACTCTTATCTATTGAGGGATTACTAAATTTCCGAAAACTTCTTCTAGAGATTTTATTCTCACAGAAAATATGTTAGACCTTGTAATATAGATATTGTTTAGCCAATGAAAACGGTGAGGAAGCTATACTGACCTTACTTAGCAGACTTTTTTTCTTGACAATTACTTACATTTAGTAGCTGTATATGCGTTATAATTTAAAAAGAGAACATATTGTGATTGCTTAAGGATTTAGCATAAATCAGTTACAGAAAAAATATTGATCAATGAAATAAAAAATTATTTTCCCTCCATTTTGGACGAGGGCTTCAGTCCGAAAGTCTATTTCCCTTCTCAGCTCACCCAGAACTTGAGAACCAACAAATAGCGATTCCGTAGTCTTTGGATAAAGTAACTTTTTTTGCGTGTCATAACCTTTTTCACAGACGTAAATTTCATTATAAAATAAAATGAATCTTGAGCCTTATTGTCGTAAAAAATTACTTACACCTTAATTACCTTAAACAACCATTTTCATAAAGGTTACGTGTATTGGAATTAATCCTTTCTCTCGTTGGAATGTCAATGGTTTTTTATTATTATTAATTTTTTTATGAATCGTCACTTACACTCCATAAGTAGTAAATTGCTCGATGTACAAAGTTATGTGGCATAGCTTAGGTTTTCCATCGCAAGGTCTTTTACAATATTCTATCGGTGTAAGTTCCCAATCATAAATCTTCCTTTCTGGATAGTAGCAATAGTTTGATGTATTTGGTGGCATATATCGGGATTCCCTGTCGTAGTGTTTTTTACCTGAAAATTTAATCAGATTTAATTATTTTACTTAAACCTTGTGTCTTTATTGAAAGAATAATCCTAAAATATTTTTCTGCAATGAGAGACAATGCTGAGGCCTAAAACAAAGATACATCAAAAAGCTGTTAACAGTATATTGGGAGAAAAAACCTAATATAAACACTGGAGCTGACTGATTTTACATAAATTAAAATTAGACATGGATTACCTGCATAAGCATTGTCCAAGTATAGACATAAGAAGACGAAATACGCTGTGATAAGTGACATGGCAAGAGTATTTCTTATTGGACCACTCTATGTGGTCAGAGGTGCTTTTATTTTATCTCTGAATAATATACTCTTCTTACTGATATATTTTTAAATCTGAGATAACTTGGAAAGTATATGAGAACAATAAGAGTCGTTTGAGCACAAACTCACGTAGTTATGGGATGTAACGAATGATTTTAGCTAAAAGTGTATTTAAAATAAACAATTCAACTCTATAAAACGTGCTAATAGATGTTTTCTCTAAAATGCAGAATAGAAGCAGCAGAAATGGTTTTGTCAAACAAATATTAAGGATCAGAAAATTTCAGATGATGGTGATGATATATTTCACTCACAAAACACGCACTCTATGTTGTTTCTAAAAAATAAAAATAACGTAATGAGTCATTGGTAAATTTTTATCAGGTACGTAGCGCAGGATTTTTCTTCGGGGGGGGGGGGGAGGGGAGCGGAGGGCAGAGGGTAATGTTTATATTCTATTTTGAATTTAACTGCTAACTCCATGTTCAATTTTAACCCATTTTTCAAAATGTGCGGTTCATTTACTTCACGATCACTCTATCGATAAAAACCCAAATTACGACTCCACATACAGATTCCGAGAGTGTATGCAAAAAAATTGACATTTAAAACATTTAAATTAAAAAATGAGTCAGACAGATGGAACATGCTACCTGAAAAAAATGGCGGCTGATCTAAAGAATATTAGGCTAGTAACTTGAGGATCGAAAAGAGAAATTTATTGCAAAAAATATGTGGAAAAAGAATAAAATTACCAATGCTGGCCACCAAGGGAAAACTTTTTACAGCCAAAAAAGCCAGATTTATTTCGGTATTTTTATTTTATGGCCTACAGCCCCTAAACTGTGCATCGAAGCGAAAAGCGTACTCTATAAGAAATAAAAAAAACCGTTAAGTTATGCGTTTAACGAATATCTAAACTTAATAACTTAGTTAAGTCGTAAGGTAGATAACCGTGGTCAACGAATGATTTTTTTTACCAAATTTGTTAAAAATTGAGACAAATTTGTATTATCGGTCGAGTATCTTGGAAATTAGTTTCCTAAGAGAACGAACTCATAGAATAAAAAAAGTTATTGAGCGTCACATTCCGCGTCCACTGAGTACCAACAGTTTTTAATGTAGGTCAATTATATCTTTCGAAGATGGATTCATTATTTCAACATGAAATTCTGTTTCTTTTGACACCTCGTTTCTCAAAATCGTCCGCTGCTGAGAGGATGAAACTAGTCCTTTACTGTATTTAGTAGACTTTAAAAAACAATAACTGAGTTGAATTCATACCAATATTGTTGAAATATTTAAAATTGCTAATACCTTCATTACCTATTTCCAACCTTTGGGAGATTATCGATTTCTAGCGGAGTAAATAACCAACATTAGAACTGTTAGTACTGGGTGAACGCGGAACTTTAATTCAATGATTTTTTTTTTCTCTTAGAAAACTCATTTCCAAGCTACAGAGCAATTTGTAATAATTTGTCTCAGTTTTTTTTTAATGTTACCGACCATACTAAATTATGGACTTAAGTTTAAACTGAATTAAGTTTAAGTATTCATTCGACGCAGGATTTCATGTTCTTTTTAAAGAGTACGTTTTTCCATTCGATGGACTAAGAAGTTACAGATGAAAAAACGAAAAAAGATAGGAAAAATCTGCCTTTTTGGCTGTAAACATTTTTTCTTTTGGGATCGGGTTTAGCGTTTTTTTCACATTTTTAAATGTGTGCATATGCAAGTTAAAAAAAAACTTTTCCAACATTTTTTGCAATAAATTTTCCGTTTCGTTTCTCAAGTTACTAACCTAATTTACTTTAAATCAGTCACCATTTTTTTCGTATGTTGGTAGCGTAATCTGAGTGTCAGACCCTCGTTTTTTAATACCAATGTTATGAATATTCCAAAAAATGCATTCAAAATTTTCTTCAGATAATCTCAACTTTTTTGCATGGGCTATCGGAATAATACCCTCACAAGGAAACTATTCCCCCAACCTTTCATTATGGAATACTAGCGAATCCAGGATATAATTTTTTGGGGAGAGGGGGGTACTTCAGCCCCAAAGCTTTTTTTTTCATAAAAATAACGATAATTACTTAGGAAACAAAGAGAGAAACTAACTACCTATATGAAATGGTGTTTAAGTGATTCCTAAAGTCCTTTTAAATGTAATTACACGAACAATAATACTTTAAGAAATAATTTTTTCCATAAAACATGGTTATATTTTACCATTTCAGGGGAGGGAGGCTTCAGCCCGTTTTATGGAAGATAAAATTATTATCTTAAAACATTTACCAACTTTCCTCCCAATTGTCAATAATAAATTTGTTCCTATCCAAATATTTTACATTACATCATTCCAATAACCTGAAGTTTTCTTCATTGACTTGTTAGTAAAATCCAATATATTTTTTTATCCATCAAATTTATGAGAAGTCTTATTCTATTTATTCTGAATTTAAATCCACATTCTTTTAATACTTTCCAGATTGTATCTAGTTCATCATGTTTTCCTAATTTTTCTCATTTATTTCTTATGTTCTTTCTGAAGACTGTTCAGACTAGTATGACAAAAATAGATATAGAATGAACATTCAAATTTTACCAGAATAATAATCTTAGTTCTAAGCTCTCAAACTGGAATGAATATGAAACTCCTCTCCTGAGTCCAGATTTAAATCCTGGTAACACTTATGGGTTCGTGTTAATCACAGTTCAGAAAAGAATATATAACATCAGTAAAACATCTTACAACTAAATTATTAGAAGAATGAGGGGAACATATCATTCCAATTATCTTTAAAATTGCTCCATCGATGCCCAAGACTTGGATCTTACTAACAAACAAAGTATTGCATTCAAAATATTAATCACATGTTATAATCACAGAAACTACCAAAATGGTTCGAAAAATTCTCATTGGATCAGATAAAACATTTATTGAATTAGATTTAGAAAGTATAAAGTAGAGAGGCCGTTGCCCTCGCCCCCTATATAATTTGAAAGAAAATAAGACATGACATAATACAAAAGGTTGGCCAAAAATTCGATTTAATTTTTTTAAGTTATTGTTCTATGTATATATTGGATTTCATATAATAATATTTATAAACTGTAATAATAATAAACTTTTCCAGAAATGATTTTCTGTCTTGCTCCCCATTAATATGAAATCTGCTTATGCCCTTGATCTTGGAACCAAGTTTACTACGCAAAATTTTTAATGGACATCCAATTATTTTACTGTAAGCTGTGCCAAGCCTTTTCACTTGCTTAAAGTTTTGATTATACAGGCCAGTTTTTATTATACTATATATATATTATACACCCGGTGAGTTAATATTAATATCTAATACATAAAATAATAATATACATAAAATGTGGAAGACCAAGAAGAATGATAACTAAAAAAAAAACCAAAACAAAACTAGCATGAAAGAAAGTATAATTTTTTGAACAAAAGAGTCTTCTTTTTTTTTTTTGCAAACACGGTATACATTAATAAATTTAAGGGAAATTAACAATATTTCAGTGTGCACGATATTTTTAGTGTTTTTCCACTTTTAGTTTTAAGTTAAATGCTCTGGGATTTATAGAGTTGTCAAGAATACAAGTTTTTATGTAAAATTTTAATTTTGAAGTAAAGAATTATTCGTTTAATAACTTTTTATTAAAATGTAAAATTTATAATTAGTTGAAGACATGTACTTAAATGTACATTAATAGTATGTAGGAACTTAATCAGAAATGCATAATGATTTTTCTTAGTTTAAGATAAGGAAAATAATGTTTTTGTATTAAAATGTGTGTCCAATATATAGAAATTTTATTTGGCGTACAGCAAATGTTTTGACTTTGGGATTAACAAAAGTTCAATGCATAGCATGTTGAGTGGTTAAAATTATGTTCTACTTGGGAGAGGTATTAAAAGGTTGATTGTTTCAAGTCAGTGTTTATAATTAAACTCAAAATTAGAACACTAGATTACTATTGCTTCAAATACGTTTATAAATAGTTGTATTGACATTTGACATGGAGGGGGATAATCACTTTTCATTCAAGCCAACCTTTAAGAACAACTCCTCCTAATTTAATCCACAGCTTAAAAATGGTAAGGAATTAAATATTTTTTATTTTTTAAATATTTTACTATGGATATTATTAATACTTGTTATTATTTTTTAGGCGGTGGTGATTTTATCAAAAAGTCAAATGAACTGTAAGTCAAATTTCCATTTTTTTTTAAATTTAATAAATAATCTATTGTATTATTTATTTATATTATTCTATTATAATATTTAGTAACGATTTTTCATTTTAATGTTAGTATTGAAAAAAGCCTTTGGAGCTTTTGAGATAGAAGGAAAAAACACAATACCGACCAATGAACTGAGTACAATTCTTGAAATGATGGGAATTCGTCAAACTCAAGAAACTATAAATACACTAATTACCGAATTTGATCCATGGCGTAAGTAGTTTATCTGATGTTTTACTCAATTTTTAAAAATATAATTCCTAATCAAAATTATTACAAAGTATTCTAGGATGATAAAAATGTTTTCTATTCTTTGGTACTATTTTTCTAAAAAAACAATTTTCAATTATCATTCATTTACTAATATCATAAATAAGATTCAATTTATCTATTGTATTCGATGGTATATAGTATGAAGTAAGTCCATCTAATAATGAGCAGATTGATAACTTTTTGTGAATAGTGAATAAACTCTTACATATATAGTAAAATAGTAAATTATAAAAGTTTGGTGATCGTTATTAAGGTAAAGGAATTTCTAATGCAATTAAGTCAATAGGTCAAAGGAAAATTAAAGTCACATGTGCAATTTTTTCTATTTTTAGATACCATTCTTTATCTAATAATTTTTTTTACTCATGATGATACCAAGACAGTCACTTAATATTTTCAAACTTAAGATTGATACAATTAAATTGAAAATTGTTTCAATAACTCATTTCTGCAGTTCAAAATAATCTGACACTGTGTATAATAATCATACCATCTATGCCGTCCATCCAAAATTTATGTTATAACAAGTAATTTGATGTTACACACTATATTTTACTACTTTAGCAAAATTATTAATTATATCAAATTACATAAATTAAATTATTTAAATTTATGATAAAAACTTAGGTTCAAAGGAGTTAGATTTGTATTATTGAATTGGGAACATAAATCTGTTTTAAATTTATTAAGTGAATGAATAAAGTATGTTGATTGATTGTCCTCAAAATTTCAAAAGAGGCTAATTAAACCATTACATTGTTCTAGTTATAATACAACCATGGGGTTACAAAATATTTAATTGTGCCACCATTTGTTTTTCTGACTCTCCTAGAAACCTTTGAACTCTATCTATAAGTTTAGCAGAATTAGGAACAAAAATATTAAGTTTTAGACTAAAGTCACTTAGAAATTCCTCTATGTTCGCAGTACATAATGAAAAATGATTTTTAAATTTACAAAAACGTTATGTGTGTATCTATGTTTATGTTATTGAGCATGGTGCACTTTGTTGAATTCTGATATAGGGAATGGATAGTATCTATAGTCTAATTCTATTATATCAAAGGCCACATGCAAAAGCTTATATGTTTAAAAACAAAAAAAATAATCAGAAGACATTTTTTTTTTTATGAATTAGATTTTCTATTTCATTATTATTTTATTCTTATAAACAAAGATGAAATGTTTTAAAAATTAAATTGCTCTAAACAGTATTTTCATGAGGAATTGTTCTAATAGGCTTTTACAGCATGCTAATCAAAATTTTACCTCGATATTTGTAAAAATTTAACAATTTTAAAAATACAATAAAAACTAAGACTTAGTTTTTCTTCATATGATTGTTATTCTTAGATACCGGAGAAATAGACTTTGATTCCTTTTCTGAACTTTCTTCTCGGTACATGGCTGAAGAAGAAAACCCAGAACAAATGCAACAAGAACTTAGAGAAGCATTCAGACATTATGATAAGGAGGGTAAATAATTTTTTTCATTACTAAAATTGAGAGAGTTCATTTAAATATGGAAACACAATGTTTTCATATCAAAATCTTCAATACCGTACATTAACAAACTCAATTTGAAAGTTAAACATTTAAAATTTATGTTGATAAATTTGTGATTTTTGGCCAGGTAATGGGTATATCACCACCGAGGTAATGCGAGAAATCTTAGCTGAACTAGATGATACCATTCCTGAAGATGAACTCGATCAAATGATTGATGAGATTGATGCTGATGGCTCTGGAACAGTTGATTTTGAGGGTAAGTTATCTCCCATAAATTCAAAAACTGATAACTATAATAAAAGTTTTATGTTTTTTACACCCATCTTGAGATCAAAAGTTATCATAGCATTGTTGCATAATTGAGTACAGAAAATGACTCATTCGCTTGCATTGTTTTACACTTTAAATTATGATAAACTCTTTTTAATGTTCTTGGCAACTTTATTGATCAAATTAATAAAAGAGAAATAATTTGATTTGATAATGGTATACTAAGAGTTAACTATAATAGAATACACGAAATATTGGTTACAAATTACACTCAGGTCTGCTTACTCTCAAATAATTCTTTGAAATCCCCTTGAATAATGGAACAAGTGTATGAAGTTGAATTGTTTTAAGTAATAATGATTTTTTAAATAAAATATTGAAATAATCAGATAATCTTTTGTTTGATATCACTAAAAAAGATTAGTTTTAATGGATCAGTTTCTGGTACTTAGCTTATAGAGAAGGTATGATTGGAAGACAAATATAATTTATCAAATCCTCAATTTCAGTTGTATCGCATTCAGTACAAACCAATATTAATTTATTATCAAAGAACTACTAAATTATTCTATAATATTTATATTTGAACCTGAAATCCCCGAAACCAGGGCTTTAGTACTCCCTGTCTCCCATTAGATAGCAGACCTCTGTTAATCAAATCCATGCTTGCATTGCCTCTGTGAAAAAGCAATACAAATTATAGTAAATTGATTAAAAGCGATATTTTGTTCAATTTAAATTTTATGCACTGATTTAACAGATTTTGTAGTAGAAGGAAAATAAGTTACAAACATAAATAAGAGGAAAATTATTTTGTTGCAGAGTTCATGGAAGTTATGACAGGAGGAGATGACTGAAATTCTGAAGGAAAGAAGAAAACAAGTAATCTCTTTATGTAGATGAATGCTACGCCTATAATTCACTGTTATCTGCCTTCCATAATTTTTCATGAGTCATTTACTTACCACAGTTCGCATATACTTGGTCGAAGCAATATCAATTGAGGTTCTTTAATATTCATTTAATAAGTTCTGTGATATTCAAATAAATGTTTATCTTAATTGAAAAATGTTCTATATAATTCCCTAAAATACTCTAAAATTAGGTTTTAAGTAGATATTCATTGCAGAAGAGCAGGGGTACAGACAATTGGGGATAGACACATTCCATAATCATAAGTTTTTACCTGATGGAACCTTGAGCCATCAATGTGGTTTTATTGCTACAAGGCTGCTCATAATTTATCAAAAGAAATGGTTTATCCATGAGAGGTGGAAAAAGGTTTAATACCCCTTGCAAAATAACTATAGAAAAAAAGTAAATGCGGTTATTTAAAATTTACTTTCTATCATGAATAATTTATTATTCATTAGGTAGAAAGATAATCGATTAATTACTTTCGTCCAAAAAGTCATATTTCTCTAAAATTCTAAGGTCATCCTGATAGTTCTCTCCCCTTCAAAAAACTCTATATTCTTTATGTTACATTAGAAAGGTACGTTATGCTTATCTCATTTCTACTTGTATCAATTGATATATATTGAATATATAGTAACCCAAAAGAACCATTTCGTTTTTGAAAATATTATTGTAAAAGAATCTATGTCTTATTTATATTCAAAACTGAGTTGTGATTAATTGCTTCTGACATCAAAGTAAAAATTGCTGTTTGTGGCAAAGTAAAAATTTTTACTACTAAATTTAAATTGTTTATATAAATAAGTGAAAATAATCAAGAATAATTATGATATTGCTTCAAATATATAATATATTTATACACTGACAGGCGAAAAATTCCACCCACTTGTTTTTTTCATGTTTTCATCTAAAAATATTTCTGCTTTGGATTGGTCTATTGTTTTTAATGAATAAATAGGTAACCTTTTTGTTTGTTTTCAATTAGGAATGTTAATATATAGGACAATAACCCTTAATCCTTAATTCAATGAAATGATTCTAGATTCCAATGTTTACTTTCTATGGAATCAAAATGTTTATACAGTATCATTAGTTCAGTGCCGTTTCTTGCAGCAAATTTATTAGTCTCCGGCTTTTAATTTTTTCAATATTAGGTTTAAAAATGTCTGTTAGTGCTGAGGATGTTGCGCGTGGTGGGGCACTTATTGATGATGGACGTTCCATTAGATATGCAGCTAATGCCATCGGAGTTCCATATGAAACTTTACGAGACGCCATCAGGCGTTTTCGGGAAACTGGTTCTTACAATAGAACGCCCCGTTCTGGACGGCCTAGGGTAACAGAACCACGGGATGACCGGTTTTTAACTTTGAGAATTTTACGAAACCGGCACCTTACCATTGTTCAAGCGATTCATCAGCTCAAAGAAGTTTAAATGTGCAAATTTCTGAACGTACCGCTCGGAGAAGATTAAATGAGTATGGATTAATGGCTTTTCGTCCAGTAAGAGGACCAGAGTTGACCAGAACTCACAGAGTAACATGGGTGGCTTTTGCTCGAGAACACAGCCATTGGACTATGGACGAATGGAGTGCTGTACTTTTTACAGATGAGTCAAGATTCGCTCTTCAATATCCAGAAGGGCGTGAAAGGGTATGGAGAAGAAGAAACGAAAGATATGCAGCCTGTAATTTTTCCCAGAGCCAACCTTAATTTTTCCGTAATGTTATGGGCTTGGGTTTCAATGGAGCGCCGCACAAAATTGGTTGTTGTTCGTGGATGGTCTTTGACAGCCATTCGCTATGTAGATGAGATTTTGGAACCTCATGTGTTGCCTATCCTCAACGAAATCGGTGATCGTTCTATTCTAATGCACGCCCACATGTCACCCGCATAGTGCAGACGTTCCTTTAACGGAACAATATTGAGGTTTTAGCCTGGCCAGCATGTTTTCCAGATTTGAACCCCATTGAGCATTTATGGGATAACCTCGAAAGACGAATAAGACCACGTGCAATACTTCCTGATACACTGCAGGACCTTGAAAGGGCTCTTCGGAAGGAATAGCCTATCCTAAAGCAAAGGGACATTTCCCGACTGGTGAGAAGTATGTTGAGGCATCTTCAAGAAGTAGAGAAGGCAAGAGGAGGAAAAACGCGCTACTAAACGATGATGTAATTAATTTCTTTTAGAATAATAATGGTTCGTTTTTCAATTTTTTTTTCTCTAATCTTTCTTACCCTATTACATTTTGATTATTAAAGGCAAACAAAGATTATAAAATTCCATAAATATTAATTATTATCTACAAATACCATTTATTATATACAAATACCATGTAAGATATACAAATACAACTTTACAGAAATATTTTTAGATGAAAACATGGAAAAATCAAGTGGGTGGAATTTTTTGCCTGTCAGTGTATATGCTTAATAAATTGATTTATCAATGCTGCTCTCTGACAACATAGGGAATAAGAAAAAATTTAGCTCTTTGTTTAATAAACTACAGCTGGAATCATTTTGATTCAACATACAAAAAATTTATCCAACTTGATATTTTTATAGTTTACATTTATTGATATTTTAATACCTTATAGTAGTTACAGCTCTCTATAAAGTACGGAAATAAACAAAATTGTGATGATTAAATCATATTTTTAACCAGGAAATCTCATTCCTCATACAGCAGAAAACTGCATCATCGCATCACCAGTTAACCCAGGAAGGTCACTTTGTTATTTACCGTATTTCTTGCTGAAGAATAAATCAAATTACATAGCATTTTTTTTTTTTATTAATTTAAATTTTCAAGCGACAGACAGCATTTAGAGTAGCTGCAAGGTCATACACAGCTTTCATATTAAGGGAAGAGCAAGATTAAATAATGGAAATTATTTGGTAAATAAATGATTTCAAACTCAATACTATTGTACTAATAGTAAGTAGTTTATTGTTATGACAGATTATAAATATTTTTAGATGATTCACTACATATACATAGAACAACAAATTTTAAACATTATTTTTCTTGGAATTTTGGCAAATATTTTATATTATATTATGTTTTATTTTATTTTTATTTTTTTTCTCTCCCTTGTGTACGCCTGTGTAAGTACAAGTCAAGGTTAAGGTCGACATGATAAGGAGAGATTGGAACAAAAAATAAATCTTAAAACACTACGAAAATATTTTTTTTTTTAGAAAAATAAAAATATCTTCAAAGATACAGTTTAAAAATTTTATTTAACTAACTAAGTGCACTCCCTCCAGCAAACTTCCCAGCTATAAATAAAAAATTATATGAACATATAATAATTATTAAACAATTAATTATATGTTTTTTATTCTTCCTAAAAGAATTGAATACTGCACCAAACCTTTGACAGAATCATTCACAGAAATAATTGATACAGCAATTTTTGTCAACTTTCAATCAAAATCTGACATAATGACAGCACTACCAAGAGAGTAAATAAAATTTATATTAAAAATTCTGATGTACCTCAAGGAAGCATCTTAGATCCCATTCTTTAGACAGTTTATACAGCTGATATTCCAACACATGCTCCAACTTCCTTACCACCTATGCTGATGACACGTATATGTTTTCATCCAATAATGAACCAATTGTTGCATCTCAATCACTGTAGTCACACAATTCAGCCATCGAAGAATGGTATCATAATTGGAGAATCGAAATTAATCCAAACAAATCCCAACAAATTACTTTTCCCTTCCATCATAAACCTACTACACTACATCCTGTCCTACAGTATCCTTTAACAATATTTCACTTATCCCTGTCGAACAGATCCATTACCTAGGACTCCTTTTTGACAGACATCTTACTTGGAATCCTCATACTAGATTGAAAAGACAAAGAACTGCTAACAGATTCCGACTACTACATCACTTAATTGACAAATGTTCTAAACTTCCAATATTCTAAAAAAACTCATATACATTTCCATCATCAGGCCCATTTGGACATATGGAATAGAGATTTGGGGCTCCACAAAACCATCAAATTCTCCCTTATCCATTCCTTACAACCCGATATCATCCGTAAATCCTTAACGCTTCTTATTATGTCAAATAAAATTATTCATAAAGACCTCAACATTCCCTTTGTTGAAGACTTGGCCATACAAGGATACTCCCTTTTAATTCTAAACTCCTTGTTCCTCCTAACCTTCTAGTTCATCCAAAACAATTCCTGACAATCCTCCGAGACATCTGAAAAGAAGATGGCCAAGGGACCTTCTAAATTAATTTAATTTTTGAAGTGAGTAGTTTCTTTACAAGTTTTTATCATGTTTTAGCATATTTACTTATTGCATATCTACACAGTTGTAAATATCAATACATGAAAAATTTTTTTTTAAAATATGGATTTATACCAATTGTGTTCAGAAGCAGAAGTTCCAGAGGGCAATGTACCTCTATATACCACCCCAACAAATTTTATAGAGATGACCAAGATATTTTCAAACTTAACTCATAACCATACTTATACTTATATGAGCACTGATTTGTTTATTGCCATAAAGTTTGCTGAACGCAGAGTTCAAACTTGTCAAAATATATTTGTATACATTATATTATATTACATTTGTGTATTATATATATATTATGCAAAACATAATATATATACAAGGCATATTAAAAATTATAGTAAAAAAAATTGTTTTATGTCAAATTTGAGCAATATTTGCGGAAACATGACTATATTTTGAAAACTGGAGATTCGTCTGAACAGACAACATGATATTAGTTAAGTCGATTTATACCTCTATATGTATTTATAATTATATCAATTTTCGAAATAGCCATGTAAGATAGTCAACTAGGTTTGGAACTTCGATTTTTTTGAGAGGGGGCAATCTTAATTTTGTCCCTCCTTTCACCACCACCCCAATAAAGGCCCTGCCCTG